CTGTTGCTTTAAGCTGCAGTCTTACCTGCTAGTGACTGTTGCTTTAAGCTGCAGTCTTACCTGCTAGAGACTGTTGCTTAAGCTGCAGTCTTACCTGCTAAAGACTGTTGCTTAAGCTGCAGTCTTACCTGCTAGAGACTGTTGCTTAAGCTGCAGTCTTACCTGCTAGAGACTGTTGCTTTAAGCTGCAGTCTTACCTGCTAGTGACTGTTGCTTTAAGCTGCAGTCTTACCTGCTAGAGACTGTTGCTTTAAGCTGCAGTCTTACCTGCTAGAGACTGTTGCTTTAAGCTGCAGTCTTACCTGCTAGTGACTGTTGCTTTAAGCTGCAGTCTTACCTGCTAGAGACTGTAATTAAGCAACTGCATCAGTCACCAATAAGTAAGAACACAGGCTGGTTCACGCATTAAAGAAATTATTAAGCAATTTATACACAGATATTACAGTACTGTTACGCTGTAAACCCGTATGAGTCATTCAGTGGAGAGGAAGAGTGGAGGCTCGCTCCTCCGTCACGTAATCCCAAGACTGGTAAATAGTCATCGCGATTACATTGTTACAGAGAAAATGACTGGCTACATGAATTACAGTTTTCTGTAAAAGAATTACAGTTCGTTTTGCTGGTAAAAGTTCGTGAGCTACGAAGCTCGGTGATAAAACCAGTTACTTGCGCAAGTGTCAGCACTGTCAGCAGCTCCAGGGTGTGTATGGAGGGGGGGAAGTGCCCTTGTGGTGGTGGCTGATACCACCATGATCAACACCAGCCAACAGCCTGGTGGTAGTGGCTGACACCACGATCAACACCAGCCAACAGCCTGGTGGTAGTGGCTGACACCACGATCAACACCAGCCAACAGTCTTGTGATGGTGACTTGCACCACGACCAACAACAGCCAACAGCCTGGTGATAGTGACTTACACCACGCTTGTGGTGTAAGTCACTACACCAGCCAACAGCCTGGTGGCAGTGACTTACACCAGCAGCAGCCAATAACAAAGTGTATTCAGTGCTGCACTGATGCTCACAGCCTCAATAATAAAACTCAATAATAATACTCAATAATAAGCTCTCAATATTTATACACACGTTACAGACACAGAGAAAGTTAGCAGGTCGAGCGATTGCTCCAGAGACTCTTGCAGCGCTGTATAGTCCTTGTGGCTTAGCGCTTCTTTTTGATTGTAATAATCCAGAGACTCTAGCAATCCACTAAGCCCAATAATAATAATAATAATAATAATAATAATAATAATAATAATAATAATAATAATAATTAATAATGATTAATAATGATACCGTCAAAACAGATACTTATTAGTCAGTCAGAAGTTGTGGGTCGCATCCTGCGAGGTGAACTAAAAACTGAAGCAGGATTCACATTGGATATAAGCCTCATTGACTGGCTTTAATGGGTTACCCTACTGGGTTAACAGTCTGAATAAAATCTCTCTCTCTCCTTCATCTTCTTCGTTTCTTCTTGTTCTTCCATCCTTCCTTTGCGCAGGATGGCAGCTGTGGTGCTGCCATCTGGCAGATCTCCTTCCCCTCAACTCTCACCTTCCACAAGACCTACATAACACTATGCAAAGATTCCTCCTCTTCCCCCAGTCTTCACGTGGGCAGCTAATCCTTGAGTACGTAGCTTCATCGTGAAGCCTTCTCGAAGTCGGGTCCAGGAGGAAGCCCAACGTTATGTTTCCTCTTGTTATGTGCGGATTATTAGTGAAATGTTCCAGCCAACGGTATTGTGACAGTCTTCTACACAGAGCGACATGACAAGATTTTTAAGGTTTTCCTTCAGTCTGGTGTTGGGTTACTGCGCCTGAACTTAGAGCTCTGGTCCCTGAAGGAACGAGGACTGCTTTATTTACAGTTCTGGCCTCTGCAGGAACAAGGACTGCTCTGTTTTGAGCTCTGGTCCATGAGGGAACGAGGACTGCTCTGTGTAGAGCTCTGGTGCCTGAAGGAACGAGGACTGCTCTATTTAGAGCTCTGGTTCCTGAGGGAACGAGGACTGCTCTGTGTAGAGCTCTGGTTCCTGGAGGAAAGAGCATCGCACCGGATTATCTCCGAGAATAAGAGGCTTCTCCAGTCAGATGTGATTGAGAGTGTACAGTCAGTGGCCGACCAAGATCCTGCCTGTACTCAACCACCTTACTGCAGGTTCGTGGTATCAAGAATACCATGATCCTGTACCAAGGACACCACCATCCTGTAGCAAGGATACCATGATCCTGAGCCTATACACACAGTTCACAAAAGATGACAAGCACAGTTTTGGACTGTAATCACAACACACAACTCTGAGTGATAATCATACATCAGCAAGAAAGCATAAGGTTTTGTGACTGTCATACAAACAGCCGTAATACTATCGTTTAGCCACACTTAGCGGCCAATCTTCCAGCTGTTTATCTGGTTCTCTTACGCCATACAAAAACTTCGTAACATTTCCTCCTTCTAAGCCACAGCATCCTTCTACAAGATGTGTCGTACGCCATCTCAAGCCACAGCATCCTTCTACAAGATGTGTCGTACGCCATCTCAAGCCACAGCATCCTTCTACAAGATGTGTCGTACGCCATCTCAAGCCACAGCATCCTTCTATAAGATGTGTCGTACGCCACCTCAAGCCACAGCATCCTTCTATAAGATGTGTCGTACGCCACCTCAAGCCACAGCATCCTTCTACAAGATATGTCGTACGCCATCTCAAGCCACAGCATCCTTCTACAAGATGTGTCGTACGCCATCTCAAGCCACAGCATCCTTCTACAAGATGTGTCGTACGCCATCTCAAGCCACAGCATCCTTCTACAAGGAGACGTGTCGTACGTACACACCTGACGCCTCAGAAAACGCCTTCACACGGACATCCGGGAGCGATAAAAACTTCCGACGCTTAACAGTGCAGGAAGGGGCGAAACGTCGTCAAACGTTACCTCTCCTAAGTGCAGGTTATTCGTAAATTGCTCCGGCCACGGTACTGCATCTCATCCGGAAAGACGATGCTAAAAAAGGAACATCCCTTATCCTAAAATACACTAATCACGAACAGAAATCTTTGGGGGAAAACCCTCAGACAAGATCAGAGGAAGTAAAGACCCACAACTGGCCACTTGTAGCCATCTTCTACAATATACATACACCCAAAAAAAGGATCCAGCTGGGAGTTTATTAACCAGGAATTCGGAGAATAAATTTCCGGAAACTATTATCGCATTACGCAATTTTTTCCTCTACTGAATATACGAAATAATTATGGAATTATTAATGATTTGAAGGGGATATTAATTTAAGGAATTGGAAATGCCCTCCTCTGCTTGGTATCGAACCTGGTTACCTTCCATTCCCCAGGCGTTTTATGACTCTTATGAGTTAAGCTCTTCCCAATGGTATTAATAATTAATAATAATTACAGTAACAGTGATAATAATACTAATAATAATAATAATAATCTTTATTTCTACAAGTACATGTACAAGGTATACAGACCATAGCTGACATCAATGACATACTACTATATAGAAAGTCCCAGGTACCTATTTTACCGTTAGGTGAACAGGGACGGCAGGTGTCTTAGGAAACACGTCCTAATATCTCCACCCGTGCCGGGGATCGAACCAAGGACCTAAATATGTGAACTGAGTGCGTTAGCAATCTAGCTAAGGAACACCTCAAGTAGTAACTCCAGACTAAAACTCTAAGGTTATTCCTGGCGTCTGGCGTGTCAGAGGTCACGAGGCGGAAGAGATGTACCTTCTAGGGAAAGAAACAGCTCACAGAATCACGAAATGAAAAAGATCTGGGAGTGAGTATTACAACTAACTTTTTCTTCCCTGCGCAAGAGATATGATGACAGTGTTCGCCCCGAGGTGGAGAAGGATCAAGGTCGAGAGGAACGCAGGTAGAAGATAAATACTAAGACGACCTAGAATGAGGACAGAAAGCATTAATCTCCGCAGCGCTGGAATAACAAATCGGAATGACAAGAGTAAAAAGCGAACCTGTGTAAGAAATGTCAAACAGTAATGACAAATGTGAAAAAGACGCATTTGCAGTGTTAGGATATTTTATTTCAATAAAATATTCTGACACTGGACCTGTGTTTCGTCTGGCAAAACAGTGAATCGTTTCTTAATTAGGAAGTGACAGGAATAACTCACCTTTGTTGAAAGACTCTGGTCCAGGCTAGACGTCAGCACCTGCGAGTGCACTGAGTCTAATGCACTCGCTCACTGTTGCAGTTATTGAACACAAATAATAACTGTTATATCACTGCAATGAGGCGAAAATAACTGTTGTGCAAAAAAAGACGTAACAGCCCTTAAAGACATAAACACAGACTTATTGCAGCTCTAATGTCTGTAATTGTTACTAGCTCCATTGTCACTACTCTCGCTACTACCACCACCACCACCACTATTACTACCCCTACCACAACTACCAGTACCATCACTACCACTACTACCTCAATTGCCTACATTACCACTAATATTACTACTACCACCACCACTGCTACAGTACTTCTATCACCACCACATCCAACACCACAGTCGTCAACACCATCTCCAACATCAGCACTAGCATGAACACCATCACTACCAGCATGAAAACTATAATCACCACCAGCACCACCACCAGCACCACCACCAGCACCACGAGAAAACCTCCTTTACCTCCATCACCACCACCATTATCAACACCAACTCCACCACCAACATCATTAACAACAGCAACACCACCACCACCAGCATCACCAACAACAACACTACAGCCAACAACACCACCACCACCAACAACAACAACACTAGAGCCAACAACACCACCACCACCAACAACAACACTACAGCCAACAACACCACCACCAACAACAACAGTAACACCAATAAAAACAGCAGGAAATCAGCAGCAGCACCAACAACACCATCACCACGCCATGAATCATGGCAACACCAGGGGTAATCAAGAATCAGAAAGGATCACCCTATAAATAAGCACTTCCTTGCCACCTTCGTCAGTCCTAAGCTCACCCTCACCACAACAACAGCCCCTCTTCCTCCAGGCAACCGGTTAAGGTTGGTCAATTGGATTTAAATCTAACAGACAACACGAGGTGCCAATACGACTGCAAGTAACCTGTTCACTACCAGTCAAGAATACCTTCTTAACCACTACAATAGGGATTAGATTATACTCTCAGCGTTTCTCTACGAATATACACTTCTCAGTGTATATATCCGGCGTGGAAGCTTCGTAGCTCAGCGCCACGGCCACGGTTCGATCCTCCCGTCCGTTTTTCAGTTTAATTATAACCTGTGTAGTTAACAGTGATAAGAGTGAGGCAAAGACAGTCACATACCAACAGACTGGTGACTGCAGCCTGAATGACACAGTCACAGACCAACAGACTGGTGACTGCTGCCTGAATGACACAAAGTCACAGACCAACAGACTGGTGTGACACAGTGAGTGACACAGACTCACGGACTTGGATAACAACGAAGCAATGATTTGCTATTTATCTACCTCAACTCATCCAGAATCCAGATGGTCGAAACATCTAGGAATCTGAGTGGATTAAAAAGACACATGAGCAAACATCAGGACATATTGGAAAAACGTTTCGGTCCTGGGACCTTGGTCACGTCTGATTATGGTCCCAGGGTTCCTAATTTTTACACACGCTTCCTTCTAAACCACTTTGTAGGTATCAATTCCAAGATTTATTTCAGCACATGAAGATCGTAGTGCCATGTTTTGATAAACACATCTCCATGAACCATCTATAGAACATTACCGAGTAACGGGAATTACTGACACATTCTTGTACCCTCCGTAATGTTACGTTCTTGCATCATCTTGATACGTTCTTGTTTCATACTGATACGTTCTGTGTATCATTCGTGAATGTTTGGTCTATTGCAACTCCTTAGGTCATGTGATTCTCACATATATTGCAAATGCATCGAATCTTTTGTTTTCTTTTTAATATTGCAGCTGTGAGTTGACCTTTTGTTGCAGATGCAGCCTTTAGGTGCGTGTGTGATGCTGTTGGTTGTGGTGGCTGTGGTGGTTGTGGTGGCTGACCCAAGATACCCTCAACCAGCCCCCTGTTACCCTAAGATCGAGCACGTTACCCATTACCAGACACAGATCGAGCAGGTCAGTACTGGGACACCTTCAGCAGGTCAGTACAGAGACGCCACCAGCAGGCCAGTACTGGGACACCACCAGCAGGTCAGTACTGGGACATTTTCAACAGGTCAGTACAGGCACACCTTCAGCAGGTCAGTACAGGGACACCTTCAGCAGGTCAGTACAGGGACACCTTCAGCAGGTCAGTGCAGGGACACCTTCATCAGGCCAGTACAGGGACACCACCAGCAAGTCAGTACTGGGACACCACCAGCAGGTCAGTACAGGGACACCACCAGCAAGTCAGTACAGGGACACCTTCAGCAGGTCAGTACAGGGACGCCACCAGCAGGTCAGTACAGGGACACCTTCAGCTGTTGTTTTCATTTTCGATAGGTAAATTAGTTTTGATTTATTCCAGTCACGGTAATGTGATTTGCATTTTCTATTGTTCAATCGTTGCAATTTTTTCTTCCAGGTACCAGTGTACACAACTGTCTACAAGCAGAAGATCATCCCCACCACCCTCTACAAGACCCAGTACAAAACCCAGTACCAGACGGAGTACCAGACCCAGTACGTTCCTAAATATATCACTGATACTGTCTACAAGAACCAAATCCAGTACGAGACCCAGTACCAGACCGCATACAAGACCCAGTACCGCACTCAGTATGTGACCAAGACCCAGTATGTGCCAGAATACATCACAGAGACCCAATACCAGACACAGTACCACACCCAGACTAAGTACCAGACCGTGTACAAGACCGAATACGAGCCCCAGTACATAACGACGACCAAGGTACGGTACCACACCCAATACGACACAAAGCTGATCCCTGAATACCACACCGTCACCTCAACTCAGTACTCCTACAAGACCGTTTGTCCCAAGCCTTCCTATGGCTACGGCTACGGCTATGACTACTAAACATCCGGCACACCTACAAGGCCCTCTTAGAGCTCCAAACCTGCCTACAACCACGGCTACTGAACATCCAACATCCACATTATGATTCTGGGCTACATGAAAAAAATAAAATATATTTCTAAATCTGATTTTCATTTACGAATAAATATTTTTTTCACAACAGCCAGATATATCGAATGTTCAAAATATTTTGAGGATTTGCCTATTTATGGTTGTAGGTGGTGGATTCTCAACTCTTGGCCTTGCTTCTGAGGCCCTTCTTTGTAAACCCTGTTAAACCAGTTCTTAAAGCTGTGTATGGATTCTGTCTCTACCACTTCACTGTTTAGGTCGTCCCACTTCCTGGTCACTCTGAGGCTGAAAAAATATTTCCAAACATCCCAGTGATTCATGTGTGTTCCAGCTGTGCCCTCTTGTACCTGTTTCTCCGCTTTTCTGCTGCCAGTCTCTGTGAATGCTATCAGTTCCATGTAGTATTTTGTACTCCTAGTACTGCTAGCCTCTGTCATCAGCTTTGGTTCCACTTCTCTCTTCATTGCACAAGACCTTTAGCTCCGGGACTAATCTCGTTGCAAACCTTTGCATTTTCTACATTTTTGAAAATTTTATCCAGTATCTCTCATTGTACAGTATATACAGAGTATATACGCAGTATATACACAATATATACACTGAGAGTTTACTTTAATCCCTATTTCAGGAATCAAAGTATACTTGCCTAGTGGTATACAGGTGATAAGCAGCCTTACTAACCCTCGAAAGCGTAGACAGACTTCAAGGTTTAAACTTAACAAGTCAATCAAAAGCAACGTTGTTAAGTTACCCAGAGGACACACCATGGAAGAATGTAAGTATATATAATACAAATAATTTACTGGGTCAACGATTCAGTGTAGGAAGCAAAAATATATACGAGTGTTATAGTGATTTTTTGTTGTTGTTTCTAGGAGCGGTGAAAATCTGGCGAGGGTCGAGTGAAAGAGGGAAATGTAAGAACTGCTGTGATTGTATTGCCTTGAAACATGTGACCAGGACTGTGGGAAGGTGTGGAGGGTGATATACCAGGATTGTGGGAAGGTGTGGAGGGTGATATACCAGGATTGTGGGAAGGTGTGGAGGGTGATATACCAGGACTGTGGGAAGGTGTTGAGGTGATATACCAGGACTGTGGAAGGTGTGGAGGGTGATATACCAGGACTGTGGGAAGGTGTGGAGGGTGATATACCAGGACTGTGGGAAGGTGTGTGGAGGGTGATATACCAGGACTGTGGGAAGGTGTGGAGGGTGATATACCAGGATTGTGGGAAGGTGTGGAGGGTGATATACCAGGATTGTGGGAAGGTGTGGAGGGTGATATACCAGGGCTGTGGGAAGGTGTGGAGGGTGATTACCAGGACTGTGGGAAGGTGTGGAGGGTGATATACCAGGACTGGGAAGGTGTGGAGGGTGATATACCAGGATTGTGGGAAGGTGTGGAGGGTGATATACCAGGACTGTGGGAAGGTGTGGAGGGTGATATACCAGGACTGTGGGAAGGTGTGGAGGGTGATATACCAGGATTGTGGGAAGTGTGGAGGGTGATATACCAGGATTGTGGGAAGGTGTGGAGGGTGATATACCAGGATTGTGGAAGGTGTGGAGGGTGATATACCAGGACTGTGGGAAGGTGTGGAGGGTGAAATACCAGGACTGTGGGAAGGTATGGAGGGTGATATACCAGGACTGTGGGAAGGTGTGGAGGGTGATATACCAGGACTGTGGGAAGGTGTGGAGGGTGATATACCAGGATTGTGGGAAGGTGTGGAGGGTGAAATACCAGGACTGTGGGAAGGTGTGGAGGGTGATATACCAGGACTGTGGGAAGGTGTGGAGGGTGATATACCAGGATTGTGGGAAGGTGTTGAGGGTGATATACCAGGACTGTGGGAAGGTGTGGAGGGTGATATACCAGGACTGTGGGAAGGTGTGGAGGGTGATATACCAGGATTGTGGGAAGGTGTTGAGGGTGATATACCAGGACTGTGGGAAGGTGTGGAGGGTATATACCAGGACTGTGGGAAGGTGGAGGGTGATATACCAGGATTGTGGGAAGGTGTGGAGGGTGAAATACCAGACTGTGGGAAGGTGTGGAGGGTGATATACCAGGACTGTGGGAAGGTGTGGAGGGTGATATACCAGGATTGTGGGAAGGTGTTGAGGGTGATATACCAGGACTGTGGGAAAGGGGTGGAGGGTGATATACCAGGACTGTGGGAAGGTGTGGAGGGTGATATACCAGGATTGTGGGAAGGGTGTTGAGGGTGATAATACCAGGACTGTGGGAAGGTGTGGAGGGTGATATACCAGGACTGTGGGAAGGTGTGGAGGGTGATATACCAGGATTGTGGGAAGGTGTTGAGGGTGATATACCAGGACTGTGGGAAGGTGTGGAGGGTGATATACCAGGACTGTGGGAAGGTGTGGAGGGTGATATACCAGGACTGTGGGAAGGTGTGGAGGGTGATACACCAGGACTGTGGTAAGGTGTGGAGGGTGATACACCAGGACTGTGGGAAGGTGTGGAGGGTGATATACCAGGACTGTGGGAAGGTGTGGAGGGTGATACACCAGGACTGTGGTAAGGTGTGGAGGGTGATACACCAGGACTGTGGGAAGGTGTGGAGGGTGATATACCAGGACTGTGGGAAGGTGTGGAGGGTGATACACCAGGACTGTGGGAAGGTGTGGAGGGTGATATACCAGGACTGTGGGAAGGTGTGGAGGGTGATATACCAGGACTGTGGGAAGGTGTGGAGCGTGATATACCAGGACTGTGGGAAGGTGTGGAGGGTGATATATCAGGATTGTGGGAAGGTGTGGAGGGTGATACACCAGGACTGTGGGAAGGTGTGGAGGGTGATATACCAGGACTGTGGGAAGGTGTGGAGGGTGATATACCAGGACTGTGGGAAGGTGTGGAGGGTGATATACCAGGACTGTGGGAAGGTGTGGAGGGTGATATACCAGGATTGTGGGAAGGTGTGGAGGGTGATATACCAGGACTGTGGGAAGGTGTTGAGGGTGATATACCAGGACTGTGGGAAGGTGTGGAGGGTGATATACCAGGACTGTGGGAAGGTGTGGAGGGTGATATACCAGGACTGTGGAAGATGTGGAGGGTGATATACCAGGACTGTGGGAAGGTGTGGAGGGTGATATACCAGGACTGTGGGAAGGTGTGGAGGGTGATATACCAGGATTGTGGGAAGGTGTGGAGGGTGATATACCAGGATTGTGGGAAGGTGTGGAGGGTGATATACCAGGACTGTGGGAAGGTGTGGAGGGTGATATACCAGGACTGTGGGAAGGTGTGGAGGGTGATATACCAGGACTGTGGGAAGGTGTGGAGGGTGATATACCAGGACTGTGGGAAGGTGTTGAGGGTGATATACCAGGACTGTGGGAAGGTGTTTACCTGGAGTTTACCTGGAGGGAATTCCGGGGATCAACGTCCCCGCGGCCCGGTCCACGACCAGGCCTCCCGGTGGATCAGGGCCTGATCAACGAGGCTGTTACTGCTGGCCGCACGTAATCCAACGTACGAACCACAGCCCGGCTGATCCGGCACCGTCTTTAGGTATCTGTCCAGCTCCCTCTTGAAGACAACCAGGGGTCTTCCCGTAATGCCCCTTATTGCTGGTGGGAGGCTGTTGAACAGTCTTGGGCCCCGGAGGGTGATATACCAGGACTGTGGAAAGGTGTGGAGGGTGATATACCAGGACTGTGGGAAGGTGTTGAGGATGACTGGAAAATTCGTACAATTAGCATGATTGGTAACATGATGCTGCCAGCATGACGTTAGCATGATGCTGGCAGCGGACTCCAGGTGACTTGAACGTCATCTAAAACGTCTACTCAGCCTCGTGGGTTACTTGTGAGCTCACCCACTGTACTCTGCCTACCATTCTTCTTGACGGTACTCTGCCTACCATTCTTCTTGACGGTACTCTACCTACCATTCTTCTTGACGGTACTCTGCCTACCATTCTTCTTGACGGTACTCTGCCTACCATTCTTCTTGACGTACTCTGCCTACCATTCTCTTGACGGACTCTGCCTACCATTCTTCTTGACGGTACTCTGCCTACCATTCTTCTTGACGGTACTCTGCCTACCATTCTTCTTGACGGTACTCTGCCTACCATTCTTCTTGACGGTACTCTGCCTACGATTCTACTTCACGGTACTCTGCCTACCATTCTTCTTCATGGTACTCTGCCTACCATTCTTCTTGACGGTACTCTGCCTACCATTCTTCTTGACGGTACTCTGCCTACGATTCTACTTCACGGTACTCTGCCTACCATTCTTCTTCATGGTACTCTGCCTACCATTCTTCTTCACGGTACTCTGCCTACCATTCTTCTTGACGGTACTCTGCCTACGATTCTACTTCACGGTACTCTGCCTACCATTCTTCTTCATGGTACTCTGCCTACCATTCTTCTTCACGGTACTCTGCCTACCATTCTTCTTGACGGTACTCTGCCTACGATTCTACTTCACGGTACTCTGCCTACCATTTTTCTTCATGGTACTCTGCCTACCATTCTTCCTCACGGTACTCTGCCTACCATTCTTCCTCACGGTACTCTGCCTACCATTCTTCCTCACGGTACTCTGTCTACCATTCTTCCTCACGATACTCTGCCTACCATTCTTCCTCACGGTACTCTGCCTACCATTCTTCCTCACGGTACTCTGCCTACCATTCTTCTTCACGGTACTCTGCCTACCATTCTTCTTCACGGTACTCTGCCTACCATTCTTCTTCACGGTACTCTGCCTACCATTCTTCTTCACGGTACTCTGCCTACCATTCTTCTTCATGGTACTCTGCCTACCATTCTTCTTCACGGTACTCTGCCTACCATTCTTCTTCATGGTACTCTGCTTACCATTCTTCTTCATGGTACTCTGCCTACCATTCTTCTTCACGGTACTCTGCCTACCATTCTTCTTCACGGTACTCTGCCTACCATTCTTCTTTACGGTACTCTGCCTACCATTCTTCTTCGCGGTACTCTGCCTACCATTCTTCTTCACGGTACTCTGCCTACCATTCTTCTTTAC